AAGCACAGCTGACTTCGGAGAGCGTCCTTTCACCTCCCGCAGCTTCTGCGGACCAAGTCGGTGCCGGTCCCAAGCCGCTCCCAGCCCGGCCGGTGCCTGGCAGCAGAAACCCCAGAGCCAGTCAGGGATGCTGAGCCCCAGTCCAAGCTGGGATCCTGACCAGTGGTGCGGAGAGGCATGAAGGCTGCCAGAACTGGAGGCTGAATTTTCAGGAGCTTTTTAAACTAGGACCTCCCCATGGCTCTGTCATGCTCATGCCACGTGGCAAAGGCATAGGGAGAGGCAGGGGCCGTTTGTGCCCTGGCCTGGGCACCCTGGCCTTTGTCAGCGCTGGCCTCACAGGCAGCAGAAATAATTTCCTGCCTGCTGTTGCCGATAATGATTCACGCCGCGAACTTGAGGCAGGATGGGAGCTGACACAACTGGGCCCAGTGCCGATCTCCCCGTCGCCGAGGGGAGGAAAAACAGGAGGAGAAGGAGGGGGACATGTTGTGAGCCAGCTCCCGAGAGCCGCAGTAGCCCCTGGGGGTCACACAGGAGCTGGCAGCCCGTCCCCTCTTCCCACACAAGCAGCGGGGGGCAGAGCGGCTGCACAGCCTGCTGATGGGAACAGCCCCAAAAATCCCTGGGGAGAAGTCACCTGGTGGGATACAGCCTGTCCTCAGCTGTGTGTCACCAGGCAGCAGCCCAAAGCAGGGGGAACCCAGAGGCAGGGGTCAGGAGCAAACAGCCCTCTATGGGGGAAACTGAGGCAGGGATGCTGGCAGCAGGAGGGACTTGGCAGGGTTAAGCTCCCTCTTTCCAGCAAAGAATGGGATTTCTGACAGCAGTCCTCTCTCAGCAGCCTCCAACTACATCCCAGTGGATGCTGAGGGTGCCAGTAGGGCACCAAACACCCCTAAGCCCCCCTCCTGCCCACAGGACCAGGCACAGTCCCAGAGATGGGCAGCGTGGCACCATTTAGAGGAAAACCAAAGGTCTAAATGAGTTTCAAGTTAGGGTTTTTTGCCCTTTTTTTTGATGGCTGGCAGGGGTCCATGGGCCAGCAGTAGCCCAGGGAGAGGGGACCAAAGGGGATGCAGTGGGAGATGGGACCAAACCTCCTCCCTGCTCATGGCTGTCCACCATCACATGAAGGTGCCGCGCATTTCTCGCCATTTCAAAAGCCTCGTTTCTCGCAGGCTTTGCCTGTAAACGACTTTAATCTTCGTAAGCCCGAAAGGTAAAGCTGCTTATACGGCTTGGGCCTGCCGGAGCACCAGGAGGAACGGGGAGGGGGATGCGGACAAGAGGAGGGGGGGATTAGTCCAGGAGAAATGAAACCCCACGGTGGATCAGGCCCCATCATACCCCTGCCCCGTCTCCTCCAGCCATCCCAAGGGCTCAGGGGAAGGGAGCCGGGAACACTCGACTGCTGCCATCTCCCCCCCGCACCAGAGGGCTCTTGAAGGCTGCACCACCCCACCCTCCATCCCACCCAGACCTCAGCTCTGCCTGCTGCCCCAGCACTCCCTTATTTTTTCCTTCAATCCCTCCCAAGAGGAATCTTGGTCCCAATCCTTCCCCAAACAGACCGAGAGCTCCCGACTCTGGCTCGCAAAGCAGGAGGCTGGTAAAGCCGATGCCCCATGCATCGTTTTAACGCTGAATAATTCTCCCTCGGATGAAGGGAACCATTTTAAACCTGCTGAGCTCTGCATGCCAGGCACCACCTCCACCCAGCATCCTTTGAGAGAGCGGGGACTCCATGGGGACACCTTCCCTGGGGTCAGGGGTGCAGGCTGTTCGGGAGGTCCCACCTTTAGCCCCTTGGTTGAGTCAAGCAGGTCCACAATGTCCAGGCATCAGCCCCAAAATGCATCCCCAGATCTTCTCTGGCCTGGCCCAAGCATCTCTCCAAGGGTGGAAGCATCACCATCACTCGGCAGCTTCATCACTGTCACAGCCTTGCCAGTTCTCACAGGTGGGACGGAGCCAAACGACGTCCAGGCTGCTCATCCCAGTTAGGTGGGGACCCCAGGCAGAGATGGGGGGGGGGGCTGTCCCCATCTTGTACCCTGCCAGGGGATCCCAGGACCCCCAGGGCACTGTGCCCCCCCCTGCCCAGGGCTGCATCCCATGGGAGCAGAGCCGGAGACAGAAGGGCGGTGAGGCGGGATGTGCCGCATCCGTATGGAATGGTTTTTTTATTACAGTTTTAATCTCACAGTCGGTAGCATTACATGAGAATAAAGCACTGGACAGGACTGGAAAAAAAGGCCTCTGGAGACAGCATGCAAACATTGCAACGAGTTTAAAGCAAAACAACCCAAAAAAAAAGCGTCTCGCGGGGACACGGACGCGCTCTCCCGACCGGGCGGCGAGTCCAGCGTCTCCCCTTTAACCATCGCTTCTGTCGTTGGGGTTTCCTTTTTGTGTGTCCATTTCATTGGCTTATTTATTTTATTATTATTCTTCTTTTATTAACCTTCTTCTCTTTTTTTTTCCTTTTTTTTTTCTTCTTTTAATTACATTAAAAAATAAGATTCGTACTTTAGTAAAATGCTCAGAGCTCGGCTGGGCCCTGCTTGAAATAATAAAAAACAACCAAAAAAACCAACAAAAAAACCCCAAAACTGAGAAAACAACAACAAAAAAACCCCACCCCAAAATCCAAAAATAAGAGCCTGGGAGACCAAAAATATACCCCAAACCTGACCATAAAAAAAAAAAAAAAAAAAAAAAAAAAAAAAACAAATATTTGGGAC